AGAGAAGCCTAAATAAAATTCCTGCTTGGCAAATTAAGTTCTCTAAAGATTATTTTCTTCAGGTATAATAAATATGAGGAAAATGATAGTTTTCTCTTTGTTTCTCTGTTTTTCTGTGTTTCTCTCTCAACCCGTCACCCTCCGAACACCACATTCCTTTACATATAGGGGTGAAAACATTTAACATATTTTCCAGTACATAGTAGATGTTAAAGGTATGCTTTTTCAAGAACTACCTCAAAATCAACAAGTAAAAAAATTAAACCCAACACTCCCTGGTCTCTTTATCACTATTTTTTCTGTACAAATCAACTCCAAAAACTAAACTAATGGAACCCTTAAAATTATTTTTAACCCTAAGTTTCTGGAATCCAGTATTTTCCTTAACAATTGTTTTCTATGTGTTTGGGATAGAAAGAGGACCATCTCCATAGGGAGTTTGGAAATATGGGAGGGAATTTTAATGTTCATAGTGACGGGAAGCTGATGTCAGTAGTGCCTGAGGGCCAGTAATTCGGAGTGCCTTTGAAGGAGCAGGGTTGTTCAGCACAAGAAGTAATTGTCCTGGCCATACACCAACATTTTATTAACAGATGGATTTACGGTTAGGAGAGCAGGTTTTAGAGTCTCCTAACTCTGGCAGTGAGTGGCTTTGTAGTCCTGGACACACTAACATCTCCAGGCCTCCATTTCCTGCAAAATGGGGATAATCTTCCCAAAGGAGTGATTGCAAAGCTATAGCAATAAAGGAATGTAGGTTTTTAGTCCAGAGCCTAGTGCACAGCAAATGGCTAGACAAATTACAGCTATTTTTAAAGCTCTTGAGCTATGTTTTCAATTTATCAATTATGTCTGTCAAAATGAGCTCATTCATGAAAGAAGCCACTTTACAAGCAATTTCTAGAGATTTTTTTAATAAAAAAGGAAATTGCCATTTGTGATTAAAAATGTATATATTTTCTTCTATAAGCAGTTGCTGAAAGACAAGGATGAAGACTAAATGATTCCCAGGAAGAAAAGGTCCAGGGTATTCCTCTATGTTTTCTTACTCAATTGTGCCATATTTCTCTCTCTCTCCCTCTATCTCTCTGTCT